GGGTCAATGTGACTGAGTGGGCATGGCTGTGAGTGATGTTGAGTTAGCCACACCCACTCAGTCACACGACCCCACCAAGCCATGCCCACAGAACCGGTAGGGAAAAAAAATTAATTTCACTACTGGTCTCTGTATAAGTATTGACCCAAATCAGAAATACACACAAATAGATTCTGGGAGGGTCAAACTAAGCATGACAGAATGAACTAGTTTAACAATTTCTCTCTAAATCACATTGAAATATAAGGAAATGTTATTGACAGTAAATTACTTCAGAATCTATATGGATAATCCTGTATCTCATGCAAAAATGTATTCCTAATTTAACATGATGCCCATTCAGAGGCATCAGCCAATTTACTTCTTCCCTATATAATCAAACTTAATCTCCATTTAGTTGTATTGGGAAGGGGGAAAAAAAATTCTTGCTAAAATAAAATAGTTGAAGGACATTGAACTTCCATTCCGGCAAAAATCTGTGAGGCAGATTTTTATGGAGTATATCATATTTGATACAATAACTATACAATTCCTATATATTAATGGGATCTGAAAACTAGGAGTTTTCTATTATAATATCAAAATATATTCCCAGTAAATGGGAAACATATTGCACCTAAGTTTATATTTGACCTTTGTTTAAAATTCATGTTAGAAAGAGACCTCCCTGCCCAGATTTGAGCTATAGTCAAATCAAACCAAGTATTTTTATTGTGGTATTTGACCAGCCTTGTTTAATTATAGTCTGATTGGAAAACTACGGTGCATAGCCAAGAAAAATATATTTATGTTTTCATAAATGATATTCTTAATCAATAAATCTGCATCTTGACACAACTTGACCTGCCACTTAGTACATGAAATATGAGCAAATATTTTCGACTGATCTGTCTTCAGTAAAGGCCACAATCTCAGGCTATTCTAAGAACTTTTAAGAGCTGCTGAGTGCCTTTAAGTTGAAAGCTGAAGACATATCAAAGACACATTTACTACATATCAATTATGCTCTATTGCTGCTGTGTGAAATTTCAGTTTTAGTTTAGTATTAAGGGCCTGGTGGCTCAGCAGAATGATAGCATTGTGATTAACACCAGCTGTCTGCAATTACTGTAAATTCGAATCTCACCAGGCTCAAGGTTGACTCAGCCTTCCATCCTTTCTAAGGTAGGTGAAATGAGGACCCAGTTTGTGGGGGCAATAAGCTGCCTTTGTATAAATATACAAAAGTATGAAGGCTATTGCTTAACGCATTGTAAGCCGCCTTGAGTCTCCGGAGAAGGGCGGCATATAAATAATTTTTTTTAAAAAAAAATATTAATGTATAGTATGGTAGTAATTTAATATTACTACTATACAGAAAGTCCCAAGAATCCTTTCTTGACATTTTTCTCTTTTGTATATATTCTTTAAAAATATATAAATTTACACGTTAGAAAGCAGGAAAAACAACAAACCAAAGCCCTCCATGTTATTATTTTTACATATTAAAAGCTAATTCCTTGAGCCCTGGGAATCTAAACCAGAACAGCAGGACTGTTCCTATTTATTCCACCAAGTATGGAGAGAGAAACTATATTCTATTTTTCTCTCTGTCTCTTTTATTAGCTTTTTTCTAAGGACTCCCAAAAAGGTATATCATGACTGGATAGGAAGTAGGCTGAAAGTAACCTAGGATCTAAGAAATTTCATATTTCAATCCTTCCACCCCTCCCAAATGAGAGGCTCCCAATCTGCTTCAGAATGCAGGCAGAGGGTTGTAAGCTACAGAATATTGATTTTCACCCTAATTTTTATATAATAACATTCATAATCTAGTGCACTGAACCATTTCTGTGGAGTCTTCACATTTGAGCTGTGAAGTCAATCCATTAACAAATGGAGAGATACAACATATTTCCACCCTAATTTTCACCATGCTTGTTTGGAAATGGAGCATCACTCAGACTGGATTTATTCACTGTTTTTTTAAGGGAAACCATATTTATTCCATTGTGCACACAGAAATGCTCTCACAATGACTTATGCATCAATAAATACACTTTGCCCTCAAACTCCTATCTAAAAAAAGATAAGAACACACAAAAAGAAGATACATATTGACAAAGAAAGGTAGCTGTTATTTAAAAAAAGACTTAAAATATGAGCTTTTAATGTGATACAAATTTTGTAATAATCAGCTCTAATGCAGATATAATACTGTAAAGGTCCTTAAAGAAGAAGTTGGTCTTATCATGATAACCTGAATGGAAATAGTACAAATAGATGAAGGGCTCAAAACTAATATTTTCAGCTGCATTGTGGAATAGCCTGATGAAAGTAGCTTCTTAACAAAGCAGGTTCTCAAACTGATCTTTGACTCAGGTATTTAGACATTTTATTTCTACATGTATTTATTTAACAAAGTATAAAACTACCAGTATTCCTACACACAACCCACATTAACTGTTGGTAATGTATTGGAAAAGTTGAAAACAAATATGGCACAAGACCCTAATATAAAATGGATCATATCAATCTGTAATAGTAGATCACATTAGACTGAATCAGACCAAGACAAATCAAGCCATACTTACTTTTCAATGATAGCCTCTTTCTGTCTCAACTGGTCTATAAACCTATACTCAGCCTGATCTAATTTCATTTCCAAAGTTTCCTTATTTGTCTGTAGTTTTTGGATTTGATTTTTCCATCTGTGTGTTTGTTCAACATGGGCTTGTTTCATTGAAACAATCACTGCCTCCTTTTCTCTGGCAAAGTGATCTATTGTAGCATGCCTTTAAAAGAACACAAAAAGATAGTTTTTACTTGGGTGCTGCAATCCTTGCTACTAGGGGGAAAATTATAATACTTAACGTACATACAGTAAAACTTTTCAAGTCTATTCATATGGGAGCCAGGTCTGATCACCTTGCCTTTTGAGGATCTCGATTCACACTTGGGCTTTGGGATTATGATGATAATTAATAATCCACATAAAAACATAGTAATCAGGGATAAAATATGGTGGCATATTTTAATCATAGTAATATAGAACTTAACCAGTATGGTAATGCTAGCATTGGAATTGAAAACAGGAGCTTAATATAATATTGATCTCTTCCTCCTGAATATTGTCACAGATGAGACAAAATTGCATGTCTGTATACAAACTGCAATACAGCAGTATATAAACAATTGTTTCAACCTCTTCTGAAACACAAGGCCAACTAGTCTTTCATTGGTTGCATAGAAAAGGGAGACTGAACATCTGCAACTTGTCATCTCTTTAACATATGCTCATCCAATGATGAGCATATGTTTCGTTCAACCCTATGAATGAAAGTCAAGATAATGTATTTTCTTTAGTTTTTAAATACTTAGATCCCAATTAAGCTTTGGTAAATTAGCTAAACAGGATTACAAAAGTGCTATGCATATTCTCCAGATATTGTAAAGAGATCAAAGTTAATACCTGAGAAACTAAATGTTGCATAAACAATGTTTTTAAAATAAGCATTTTTGGAAGATTGTCATGCAATCTGATTTCCTTAATAAAGTTTATTTTGTTTACCTCCTTTTTTTCTCTTGTTTTTCAAAAAATAGAACACTAAATAAGATTGATGCTAGGGAGCAATAACCAGTACAGAACTGAAGAAGCTTCTTGGATGAGAAGCAAAACGTTTTCAAGGAAAAAACCCAAGAAAGTCCTGTTGCCTTTTGAAAGGCATCTTTGGGAATGCTTACTATTGTATTGTATTGTACTGAACTGCACTATACTGTACTCTTATTAGATGAAAGAGCCTGGCTAGTATGTGAGACCAAAAGATCAAACACTCAATCCACAGAAAATTGACAACTGACTTGTACTTTTTTTTTTTGCTGATGTGGAAAAATTCAGTCCTAAAACTGCAACATGCACACATTTTCCAAATGCTAAAATAGTGAGTTCAGCAAGAAAAGCCTTCAGACAAACTAATATACTAATCGTTTGTTTTTAAAAGTAGAATCTCCCACTTTTAATGCAATGAATGCATTCAATGTACATAGTATATTTATAAAGTAAGGGCATATGTTGAAAGAACTTACTTTCTCTCAAATGTTTCTTTTTCTTTTTCCCAGCCAAGCTGCACTGAAGCAAGTTTACTTTCTAAATCCTGTATCCTACATAGTCAAACATTGGAGAAAAGTATACTTTATACAAAGAGGCAATGCATAAAATTATCAAGCCTTTTATGAAAAGTCTGAAGATACGTATTTGCCAAAGCATATTTTAAGAAAATTGGGATAAAATCAGCAATTTTCCGATACAGAATAAATCACCTTCAAGATTAAAAGGTTCAAGTTGCACAATTCAAATATATACCATTTCCCCCAAAATAAGACATCCCTTGATAATAAACCCAATCGGGCTTTTGAGTGCATGGCAGTAAGGCCAAGTGCTTATTTCAGGGTTCAAAAAAATATAAGACAGGGTCTTATTTTCGGGGAAACACAGTATTATTACACTGGGCTAGACCCTTTTTAGCTACATGGTTCCTATACAAAGATGAAATTATTCTTCCATTTTTTTATCTTACTTTCTCATCTTAATCCACCTAATTAATATCTCACTTGGCAAAAGAAATTTTGGGCTCAATTGTGGTTATAAGTTGAGGACTACCTGTAATGTTTTTTTTTTATTTTATATGAGGAACATTAGTTCATACACAGCAGATATGAAAATGAGTATGTCTGTTCTTTGCTGTAGTAGAAATATATCATCTAATTGTAAGAAAAAAAAACGTTCAATACTATACAAACCTATCTGAATTAGGTATTATACAAGTCAGTCTGAAATTGTCTGAGTTTATGAGCATAAAATATACAATCTAGGGTTAGTATTTTGACATGGGATTAAGGTGAACTAACTGTTTAGCTAAGTAAAAGATATGTATGGATTCTGGAGGCATGCACAAACTCAGAGACATCTTAAACTAACTGCTTTGTAATATATTTTAATAGCCTTTATTTTCTTCTTCCAGGTACAAGAAAAGGAGGAAGAGGAAGAGAAAACAAGTAAAAATAGAAGGAAAGAAGGAAAATCAATGAAAATATTTTCCCCCTTTTTTATGAGTGGAATGATACAGTACTGAGCATCTTTTATGGCTGTAGTATCTTTTATTTCCCAATCTTTGCCTCTAACTTGTTTTTCAAGCTCCAAATTAGCTGCTTCTGCCACTTTCAGTGAGTCTGCTGCTTTCATTCCAGCTTCTTTCAAAGCCTCTAATTCTTTGGTCAACAATTTCACCTTTCAAAATGAAAGAACAAAACAGGCTATTAAATATTCCCCAAAAATTTAAAATAGAAAGTACTATCTGTTACATATGTATGAACATAAACACACTTTTATTTGAAATGGATTTGAAACATAAGATAGGGTAGACAAACTGAGGGTTTTGTATATGTCTTCAATAACCATTAATTAAGGCAGATTACTCAGTTCAGAAACAACATTAATTCCAACTGTGGCAATGTTAGACACTGTTACATCTGAATTAAGGAATAAAATAACTACTTCTTTGTCACTCATTCAAAATGGTGGACTAATAGGGAAAAATATTGTTTCAAGGAACTACTTCTTAAAATAGTTCTCTTTACATTACTTCTTAATAGCTGAAATAAGTTTGCCTGGTTATGAAAACAGAGCATGATTTCAGTGTATCAGAATAAAAAAGTGAGAGTAATACCACAACATATGCTATACTATGCATGTTTACACTTGATGGCAATTACCTTAAGTTCATGGGACAGAACTAAGTTGCTCATTTCATCTGCTTTCTGTCGAAACTCATGCTCTCTTTTTTTTATTTCTGTGTCAATTTCTACAAGAAGTTCCTGAAATAAAACACATACAATTGTAATAATATTATAATCTTATAAAATAATACAGAATAAATAACTTTCAAGGGCTTACAAATTGTTTCTTTAAGAGTGTTACAGTTTATAATACTGTATATTAAATACATGGAGATGTTTTTGTAAACTAGGACTACTGGTCTTTTCAGCTTCAGCAGGCTGAGGATTTTTTCGGGGTGTACGTGGCTGTTTGGGCTCCAGCGTACCATAGTAGAAGAAAAAGAAAGACACCGTATGTCATATTGCTAAACAACAGAGAATATTTTACAATTATTTTATTTATGCTGCTCTATTACAATTCTATCAATTAGTTGTATATTTCAAAAATATTACTATTTCTATGTATGTGGCTATATCCCTGTTCTCTGGGTTTTATTATTCATCCATATGTTTGCTAGGTTTATAGTTGTTTATATTTTTTTATTATTGGAAAAAACCTATAAGTAATTCTTTGAGATATATTTTTTTCTTTTCAAAATATTTATACATTTTTAGATACTATAACAAGGATGAAATCAATTGCAGAAAGTAGTATACAGTAAAGAAACATGTCAGTTAATACTTAAAACGTCTTAAGTTAGCCAACAGATCTTTTTAATGTTACAAAACTGAAATCCTGAAATCAGAGAAGCATTGAGTGCTGGCACAGGCCAGAGTGTTTATTTAGCCCTGGCAAACTGTTTTTGATTTATAGTAATGACCTTCCTGAAATTCAAGGTTGGCAAATTTAGCACAGTGTTTTGGCTGTACCCCTCTGTAAAGTATTTTACACCATCTTATTTTACTAGAAACAATTCTACCAATTTTTTTCAAGAGAATGATGCCATGTTAGGAAGTAAAGCACATATTCCCTAATATATAAAATGATAAAGTTAATTCTAGTTATTCCCACTTCTATGTATATCTTTATTTGATGTAAGATGTTTAATAAAATCACATAAATTGAACTGCATGGTGATAGAGGGAGGGAAATACTGAGAACAATGAATGCATTCTTTTTGTTTACTGGAAGGAAAATATAAATGTTTCCCTATTCAAATAGATTGTTATGCTTTCTGTACCTGTCTTTGCAAAGCAAGTTCACCTTCAACTTCCTGGAGCTTTCTCTCCAATTGTTCTTTCATATTTTCATATTCCTGATGATAATGGCTGATGTCAGAATCTTTCGAACTATGAAATCAAGGAATTAATAATATAAAAAGCAAATACTGATGTCAGAAATATATTTCTCTTTCCATTCCAGTGTAATGTCTACATGAAACTATTGGGTGAGGCCACCTTGTCAGTACAGGGTTTAAGTATTATCAATATGCTGATGATATACAACTATATATTTGTGCCCTAAGTGATGCTGTCAAGTTTTTTCCCCCAATGCCTAAAGGCTGTCAGGATCTTAGTGGGAAGGAACAGTCTTTGACCAAGTGGCTGTGACTTTCCATTGGAACTGGAGACCTCCTATCCTTATCTCTGGATGAAATGCCACTCCCTAAGACAAACAAATGGGTGTGCAATCTTGAGTTCTTGTTGATTATAGCTGGCAGCTGTGGCCAGTTGGTATTTGCAAATCTATTTTGTATCCAGTTTTATCTTTTTTCTGAATCAGGAGGTATGTTTGTAGTCACTTATGCCTTATTCACTTCCCAGTTGGACTACAGCATGTGTATAAGGGTCCCCTTGAAGATCATTTGGAAGATGCAGCTAGTCTAGAGCATATTATGGGCAATTTTGGGTGCACCATAATACACCTACAGAACATCACTGCTACATGAATGCACTAAAATCTAGATCCTAGCAGTTTTGCAGATACAATTCATAGTGCTGGGTATCACTTATATAGCTCTATATGATGTAGGCCAGGATACCTGAACCATCACCTGTTTCTAATCGTTTCTGTCTGTCCCACCAAATCTCATGGGGTGGACATGCTTCATTCTGTGAAATAATGTCATCTTATGTGACATAGGATGCATGCCTTCTCTGTTACAGATGATATGTAAATGCAGCCCTCTACACTTTATTCAATCAGTTTGGAATGAGAATTTGGTTAATATATTCAAGAATTGGGGTAGTATGTAAGCTATAGGTTGTCACTGGTTAGGTCATCCCTATGCTAGAATGCATTTTGTTAGATCTGCTAAGGTCTTATTTGTAAAACATGTGTAATCCAGTCAGTCACTAATTGTTAGATCTCTCTACCTGTGGTTCTAACAACATAAGTTATATAGCAACTAACTCAAAAGTTACCATTTTAGGAATGTAAAGTCCACATCCATTTTGTACAGGAACATTTCATAATTTCTGCTACCACTACCCAGTGACAAAAAGAACCCAAAAATAAAATAACTTTCCTCCATGTTCTGCTTCACATAAGAACTTGAACCTCACAATGATGCTGAACTGCTTCTTGCTCTATCTTCTAGTAGTTCCCACCATTTCACATCTTCCTGCAATATGGGTATGTAATGCAAAACATAAACTATCAAATGGAGCACTGAAAAGCCAGCATGTTCAATTGCTGTTAGAAAGCAATGAGTTCTACAAAAGAGAACTTGTTTTTCTCAGCCTATCTGTAGCCCCAAATCTCTCCTTTTTTTTTTTTTTTTTTGAGAATTGAATAGAGAGGACTAGGCAACTGCCACACTTAGAAATGAATTAATGTACTATGTTTGTGTGATGTGAGACTGGAGAACAACTAGGGGAGTTGGGATTAAAGTTGTTTTTACTTAGCCTCACGGCTAACTGGCTTTAGATAATCACATGACATACCCCAGCCATAATTCAGTTAAATTTACATGAAATGAATTTATAGTTTATGGTCTTTTGGTAGCAGTAATGAATGAATTATTCTTACTACATATATTGTCAAAACTTCATACTAGGTATGGCAGCTCAGCTTCTCATTTTCAAGCAGACTCAAGGTTAGGGTAAATAGATTTATTGTCAAGAATTGTGAAACCATTAGAGCAAAAGCATGAAAAGTGCTTCAAATCCACTGTGAGTCTGCTCGCTATATCTGTTGGCTACTGTAATTCTATCATGTGAATTTATATAGTCAGGCCATCTAGCCTAATGGAATAACTGTCAGGCCTTGAAACCATATTTTGCATTGGATCTTCAGGTCTGTCACATTTACTGCTGTGGGAAACTAGGAGGAGGATTGTATAGAGCAAGGACAGCAGTGAAATACAATTACCTTTGCTACCGGTTTGGAAATGTGAGCACGTGTGCTTGCTACTCTCGTGCGTGCACCTCTTCTGCACATGCACAGAGCCTTCTGCGCATGCACAGAGGGTCAAAAATGGGACATAATGATGTCCTGGTGGGTGGGCGGAGCCTACTGGCTTGTGCAAGCCAGCTAGATCCGGCTGGATTTCACTACTGAACAAGGGTGATATATAGTCATAATAACATTCCTTTCTCAGAGAGTCAAGGAGATCTTGCCCTACACCTGGAGGGGTGTGGCTGGGAGGCATCTCCAGTTGGGATGGTGCTTTGATTGGACTGTATGATGAACTTGTGGGTGCTGGGCAGGTACTTGGACTTTCTTTTGGGTGGGGAAAACCTGGACGCTTTCAGAATAGGGTTTTCCCAGATGTGCCAATATGACATCTCTAATAAAATGGAACTTTGAGGAACTTCAGGCCTCGGAGTCTTTATTGGTTGGGGGTGTTACTTGGAACCCTAACAATAACTGTGTGACTAACATAACAGAAGCAAATACACCCACACATCCCCTCCACATACATACACACTAATAGAAAATATTACAATAAAAATACTAGGTAATCAACTTGTCAGTCAGCACAGGGCAAAAATATAAACCAGTCTCCAATATCATTCTTTTAAAAAGGGTTTTAATGTTTTTTGATAGAACAACAGGGTCAGAGCCATCTAAACTTCAGGGGTGAAGCTGTTCACAGAATGTTTGGGGCCAGCACAATTCCATGCTACTTCCTTACTCTGCCCATATCCATTTCATCGGAAAATAAGAGATTACCCTAGAAACTTCTTTAATCATACTGCCTGCTACTTCCTTACTCTGTCTGTATCCATTTCATTTTAAAATAAGGGATTATCCTAGAAGCTTCTTTAATCATGCTAAGATTTCTGGGGCAACATTTTTTTTAAATAAAAAAGCTATTACATGTATAACTCCTTTAAATACTATTTTCAGTGAAGTTCCAGCCACTCTATTTAGAGTGACACTTTGGGGAGTTAACTATGATTGTTTCTTTCTATCTTTA